ATTTTAAATCGTCAGAAATATAAAATAAACTAAACGTTAGCTAATGTTTATTTTCCACCCACGTGATAGTATTTATTTCGCATCCTATAGTTACTTGCCTGTCGACTCTACTAGAGGAAATCAGAAAACATGCTGAATTTTGGTGCCGATTTTCCAAAATTTTCCAGTAGAGCTGGCTGAAAATCGAAGGCAAATGAATTCAAAATTTTCCTAACATTACGTGTAAATTAAGGACTAGAAGTCCTTGATGAAAAGTTATTGCTTAGTGCAAACTGTCTCATAATATGAATTAATGAATGGATGACTGTAAAATTATAAATCGCGATATCACAGCATTATTCATACTGTTTTTAAGGAGTGACCAACGTGAAAAGTAATTGCTTCATGCCACTACTAATAAAGTGTTAAGACTCAAAAATGTTTTTGCGGTTAATATTTCATACCAGTCATTAAAAAGTTTAGAAGAGTTTATTTCTGTTGCCTACAAAGATACAAAGTTTTATTTTTATGTGAAATTATGACGCACGGTCGTAATACAGCCCACCGTGGAGGTTGGTAATATGAAATAATATTAATGACACCGCCTGTAAAAGACAAACATCGTATGAAAACATTAGTTTATAGACGACAAGCTCTACCCGCGGTTTCAACTGTGTTAATCTATGTAAAATCCCTAAAACTGTACATAATTACAGTGGTTCCTAAGATTATCCTCCACAAACTAACAAACTTATACAGTTTTTTACCTAACGTATAGATGTCAAGTGATAGACGACAAGCAACGTCTTCGAATCAAAACTGTACCTAATGATGTTGTAATATGTTTGTTGTAGTTTTCATAATAGCATTTTTGAGAACGTGTGTTGGGTCACGTTCTTGCGTGCAGAGCTTGGCGTCAAATCAAATATAAGATGACCGCTAGTTTTCATTCGTACAAAGGCGAAGACAACAACAATAGTTAGTTAATGCCAAAATTACTGAGAAAAAGACGTATTTTGACTCCCAGATTATGCATGCAATGCATGCATTTTCAGCATGGCATGTGTATGATATTTAATACCTAGTGACTTGTAAGAAAGCAATAGGTAGGTACATTTTTACTTATCACCTAAATTATGGAAATATAGAATTAGTTTAATAGAAAGAGAAGGTCATCGAATCTCCGTCAGTCCACCAAATCACTATTAAGTAATGGGCACCTAGCCTTTACCTTGAAGATCTCTTTTATTACAATACAACAACATTAATGCTGTGTTTATATTACAAGTTACGATGGTTGATTTAGTCAATGAACTGCCTGGAAGTTGCTCATATTTCTTACAAGTAATGGCATATCACTACACCCAATGCAGCTGTGAACTTAATATGAATGGCATTCATCTCCATAACACTTGAGATATGCATAATATCTGGAATATTCTGTTTTGATTGTTATTTATTGTTGGCCTATATACGAGAAGCAGACGCAGGGCGCCGCTGCACCACGCTGGTGCCCCGAAATAGCTGCATTGCACAACTAATTCGCACTGCATCTCGGTGCATTGAACTGCTGTCCTAATCTGAACGCATAACGCATCCCGCCGAGCCGATCAGTGCGACTCTTTTTATTGCCAACGCAACACAGACCAGCGTTTTACGTTACATCTGTCTGGAGTGCAGTCTTGTAAACTCGGGTACCATGCATCCGCTGAACATGGAGGGTACTATTTTGAGATTTAGTGACCTCCTTCTGCTGTGTAACAAGGGTTTGATTCGTGTGGTTTGTTGCAGTCCTGCGCAAGGCGTTCGATGGCTTCGACCACAACCGCTCGGGTAGTATCCCCTGCGATTTCGTCGCTGACATCTTGAGGATGATGGGGCAGCCCTTCAACAAGAAGATCCTTGAAGAGCTCATCGAAGAAGTTGACGCTGACAGTGAGTTCTATTATATTTTACTGTCATATTTCGCTATTTATAGGTACTAAATCCTGCTAACTTATTTCTGTGAAAGGTGGAAATTTCTGTACTAAAGTCAACATTATAGCCTAACTAGTCTACTAGTATTATTACTTTAAAAGCTCTGTCAGTCATTAATAAAAGCTCTATCACATTCAAAATACTGTACTAAAGTCAACATTATAGCCTAACTAGTCTACTAGTATTATTACTTTAAAAGCTCTGTCAGTCATTAATAAAAGCTCTATCATATTCAAACTAACTGCCCAAAAGACACCCACAGTAATTTTTCGACAGTTCTCCTTCTCTTTATATCATTTTTATTAGGGAAATCTAAACTACGCTAATATAAATGGCGTAAGCGATATCTATGAGGGTATTAATAGCTGAATTCGCGTTTCAGAGTCCGGCCGCCTTGAGTTCGGAGAGTTCGTTACCCTCGCCGCCAAATTCATCGTTGAGGAGGATGCTGAGGCCATGCAGAAGGAACTCAGGGAAGCATTTAGATTATACGACAAGGAAGGTATGTATTCTCTCCGCCAACCAATTGACGTAACTTCTTAAAACTATCAAGACGAGACTCTCCCATAGATTTTCCAATGACATCACTTTAATTATAGTTACTACTTTTTTCAATTACAAAACAATCAAAAATCATTACAGGTAATTTAAGGTCAAATGGAAGCGTCTTTTTTAAATAGTTGGAGAACGGTGTCAAAATACCTATTTGTATATCAGCGCAATCATTTCGCGCGGAAAATTTTCCACTAGCAAAAAGCGGTTGGATACAACTTTGATAGATACGAAATTATTTATGAATGAAAATGTTGTATGAATATTTAGATTTCGAAACGATACTTTGTAACTTTTAATTTATGTGACGATATAATGACACATAAGTTTGTAAAAATACGATATTCCGGGAAACTGGATTTAACAATATCCGGGATGCAAAACATAAAAATAACGATTTAAAGTTCCGAGGATACTCATGTAAAAATATTAATATACCTACTCGTGGTGGTATTTTTATGTATTTTTATGTAGCAACTAATAAAAAGAAACATTCCCATCATTCTATTCCTGGAGAGATCAAAGCTTCTATGAAAATTTTGATAAGCCCTTTGACTAATAGAGTCATAAATTGTTGTTTTATTAATCCGTATGCCTAAACAAATTCATGGAAATGTTTTGTTTAAATCTCATAATAACAACAAGGCATTAGAGGTTACTATAAAGGAGGTATCTACGTGACGATTTAAAGTAAAAAAGTGAACTAATTCGTAATTGTAACTAAATATTTCAGATAAAAAAACTACAATCATTAAGTGTACCTAACCCTTCTTTATTTTGCTGTGCAATCTAATTATACTCGTAGCTGTTAAAATTGTGCCTATTGGTCCTTAAACTTTCGCCTGGTAGTGTTATAGATGTCATCAAAATTTGAACTTTATTGAGTTGAGAAAACATAACTTCATAAGATTCAAAACTCTATGCCAAACTTTATATGCCAGTAAACCCTTGAGTTTAAAACAACGCGTGCAGATCGCCATCGCCGGCTCCATCATAGGCCAATGACAGGTCGCGGGACCTATGATACTAAGGGCCTATGATCGCGCACGCGTTTTGGTGTGGTTGAAACTTTAGTTGTCTATAGGAATTATCTTTGCCAAAACTTACCACTCACTTGTTTGTTCCAGGCAACGGTTACATTCCCACATCGAGCTTGCGCGAGATCCTGCGGGAGCTGGACGAGCAGCTGACCGACGAAGAGCTCGACGGCCTCATCCAGGAGATCGACACTGACGGCAGCGGCACGGTAGACTTTGATGGTAAGAAGTGGTTATTTATTCCATTGTAATAAGGTTTCAATTCCAATGATAATGCATATTTCTGCACGTGACTACTGCATCAAAGTTTGTTCTATAACGCCTACATATCTAAGAATTGCCCTGCTAGATAGGTATAGACAGAAGGACATGAAATTAAAATAGACAATCTATCTCTAGTAGGGTGAATCTTTTAAATAGTAAATATTATTTCATTTTGACAGTTTATGATAGCTTAGCTCCAAAGTAAGCAAATTGCATTTTCCAGTGGAACACTTGTTTCCTATCATTAGTGTTTTGTTTCTATGAAATGTGATTGATATGAAAATATGAGTGGACATGAAAATGTGGATCATGGATGGATCGAATGTGGATATGAAAGTATGAGTGGCATCGTAGTCTACTGCAGTACAATCAACATAATGTTCTAAAAGCTGTTTAAAAATTGAAACTGCGCAGCAAACTTTATGCATGTATTTTTCATCATTTAACTCCGTCGTTACTGTTCCTATTAATGAACCGTAAATGCCCTAGTTTCAAGAATCCTATTAGAAGTGTCTGCTTACAACTGTGTGAAAAGTGACAAGTATTAAACGATCCCATTCTTTGTTGCAGAGTTCATGGAGATGATGACAGGGGAATAAGCTTCTATTTCTATTCTTTTTTTTATTTTTATGATCTAATTTAAGGAATCTCTACATTTCGGTACTTCAACCTTTCGAGTCTTGGGAACATTGGACAAGATTACTGTAACATTAAGATGAAATGAAAGTGTAACATCTAACTTCATTGGCAATAATAAAGTATTATGTATGTATTGTACAAAATAATATTTGTTCTTGTTTAATTGATGTGTGTGATTGCGTAATGTTTATACCTACTTATTAATAAATCTTTTATTCTACTATCTATGTTTGAATAACTATGATATTTTCGTATTTCACAAGCGTTTAATTTGTATCAAGGGTTTCAGTGAATTTAACGTAAAATATAATGTGAAAATAATTCTTAAAATAACGCTAAGAAAAATAATTTTTATTTCATAAGATCTCTTCAAGATAAATATAATGAATCCCCAGTTTTTAAAGCGGTCGCCAGATTGTCCTAGATAATTTTGATGGCATAAAATTCAGGAAATTTGGCCGCCGGCCAGGGCTAAAGTAATGGGTCTATTTGAGTGGCTATTTTGCTTTTCTGAATCACATACATACACACAAATGAGATAAAGGAGAGTAGTCGTGAATAATATTTTCATTTATTATGTAATTCTTTGTTCTGCAAAACAATCTCACATATTCAAGTAATTTAGCAATGCGAAATATTTTGGGCCGATACATTACCATAGCACACAAAGCAATACACAAACAATCTTATCTTACATTCTATTTTCGACTTTAACATTTTAACACTGAGACCCATTTGATAATAAAAAAGTAAAATTTGTAAATAGCATTTGTTTCTTCAAAAACATTAAAATCAATTAATCAAATTGGTACTTAGATCAGGATTGGGTATGGCACTTTATACTAAAGTTTAACACTAATTTACTCTTCGAGTCATGTCATGTATAAAGGGCTCCTTTTCATCCAATTCCAATTTGCCCTCAAATTGAAATCGATAGCGCCATACCTTTTTACAGTACCGACATATTTAATTGCATTGACATTGAAAATTATTGAAATAATTTGCATTACTTAATAACACTTATTCAATATACCAAACATAACTCTCAAATAACTTAAAAGCCTACATAAAACGTAGGCCTTGTATAATAATACAAAAATAAGTAGTTCTTAAATTAAAATATAGGAATAGAAGCTTATAATTATTTCTAAAACGTAGTGGTGTAGTACGTGCATCTCTAACTTTCGGTGAAACTGAAATCACTGTAGCAAATAAAGTGGAACTTATACACATAATTATAATAATATATATTAAAGCTTTGTCATAGACTTAACTGACTTAACTATACAGATAGAGCTTATTAATAATAAATAAGGTGTATGGGGCAGGATGGTACTTTAAATGTAGTTAGGTAGGTAAATTAATTACTTGATTTACCGTCATCCGTACTGTATCTGCAATGCCAGAATGACATACAGTTATGAGTTAAATTTTCCCAAAATATAGGGTAATTTGTTTAGAAGTCATTCAAATATTAATTTATAAAAAACCATATGGATTTTAGGGATTATTAATAAATACTGGGAAAATTCCAGATTTTAACCACAACAACCAATTATTGCCCTTACACCTTGTACTTATACATAAAATATGTTATACATTAATATATTTAATAATCTGAATATACAATATTATGATAGCTACGTGAATATCGAAATATATAGATAGATAGGTACTTATAATAATAAATAGATAATTCTTATAATAACTATGTAATTAATACAATCAGGCACTGTCTGACACAGCAGAAGCATAGACAATATCACAATTTTGTCAATGAAGTCGCTTCTACATGGCACTTAGCACGTTTGCAGACAATATGACACACAATGGCGACTCGTTTCGAAATAAATAAATACATGACGCCATGCGGGAAGTTAACTCCTAGCTAATAATTACTTTAACATATCTCGAAGTCAAAAGTAAAATTCATTGGTAACGTATTTAACAACTAAGCATTACGAGTCTTCAATTAAAATTACATCTACAACAATTTGATCTGCTACATCGTATTCATGTATGTACATTCAGAATTTCCACGTTCTTGTTAGCATCTTGGCTTGGATAGCTAGCTTTATCTAAGTTTTCGTAAAGAACTACCTACGGATGAGATCTCAATTTGAACTATGTTTACCAAACGTCCTTCTCCTGTCTGAAATAGTATTCAAAGCTAATTATCACATTTTACAGAAACGTTTAGCTTAAAGATGAAATAAATTAATTTCTCTATCATTCGAAGCTATTTGCCTGACATACGCTACAACCAGCTATTAGAGAGAACATACGGTAGGTACAAAATGGACACGTTATAAGTATTTATACACAGCTGAGAAATATGGCATGATTTGTGCAACAGTACAATCCTTCTGAAAGTAACATAAGTACACATCGATAAGTAGGAATGCATAAAATTCTTTGGATACTTTTAGAAGGTCGATAAAGATTATAAAAACGCCGGTTGGATTCCGCGAGGCAATAAGGTGGTCCTATTTATAATTATTACGTAATTTTTCCTAACTAAGTAGTTTTATGAATACTGTTTATTTGTTAGATCTTCATTCCGGGTAAAACTGGTCTCTTTTCTGGATGCAGCAATCCAGTTTTAATGCATCCTTGTAATACTCTGGAACAAAGAAAACAAATAATTTTAAACTATGTTGATAACTATGCCCTAGAATTTTACCAATCCATACTTCTATTCTTCTGATACTAATATTTTAAATGCGAAAGTTACTCTGTCTGTCTGTTTGTCTTGCTTTCATGCCTAAACCACTGAACTGATTTTGATGAAATTTGGCATAGAGATAGTTTGAGTCCCTGGAAAGGACATAGGATAGTTTTTATCCCGGTGTTTGAAAAAGCCGCGGGCGGTAAGCTTAGTAGGTACATAAAGGTAACTCAATTAAGTCTTATATTTCAGCAGTGATTGTATTAAAGCTATGTATTGACCCTAAAACTAATTCCTAACTAAAACAAAACTCACCTCACAATGGCCACACTGGCAGATTTGACTAGTAAGGTGAAACTACACAGCTCAGTGTAGTATCGGAGGCGGTGGTCGGCTCCTGCTGTTGTTCAGTTTAGGGATCGAGCTGAAGTCCAGGAGGTCGGTGCCCTTCGGTTTGCTGGGGCGGAAGCTCTTGCGCCGGCTCAGCCACGGCGGCGACACGCCGTCGCACCACGCCGCCCGCGCCCAGCCCACGGGCTCCGCCCCTACCCGAGTACACTCCCGAGCATACGCCCTATAAGCCGCACAGTGACACCTTGTCCCCGCGCATCCACAAGCATCCAACTCACAAGCCTCCCGATAATTACGCGGGTTCACTTTCGCACCACACTCCGAAAACGCATCGTATCGCAAAAAGCCCCGACACAATCGGCGAGCCTTCAATATCTTCGACTGCCGACACCGAGACGCCATTCCCGGCCGCTCCTGCTGGCGAGTACACGCCCGCTTCCCACCCACGCGCCACGACGTCCCGAAGCGCCACGTATCGTTCAACAGCTTTCCATCGCGGGTTCTCATATCGTCTCTCGCGACCGAATTGAAATTACCGCACAAGCCGCACAACTTTCCTTTGTAAACACTCGACACAGTCACTTCTAGGAAACCCTCACCGTCCCACAACATCTGCACTCCTATCTCCGCTTTCAACAACACTGAACCATTACTTCGCGTGATCTCGGCGACACCTCTCTCCTTGTGAGGCAGGGTAACCCTTTTGCCGTTCACTTTTATTCGCATTTTCTTTCCCATGTTGATTTTGGTGGATCCAATGCGAAGTGTCGCTGTTCGGGTCCACGATGAGTGTAAGGTGTTCCTGGCGTCATTCGATATCCTTATTGAAAAGGTATTGTTAACGCAGTCAGAAGCCAGTTGATACTTGCACGACCCCTGAAAACTATAGAACTTTCCGTCGAAAGTCTTATAGTGGGGATCACCGAAGACAGTGCAGATGCCGTCAATATCGATGCACTTCGGACAGCACTGGCCAGGCAGCTGGCGCAGCGTCTGGTCCGAGCGACACGTGATGCTCGGACACCGTTCCATGGCACAGCGCGGTTCACCTCCGTGGCATTCGCATGACTTGCATGCGTCCAGTTGCCAGATTTCTCCATCCTGAAAATTGAAAAATTACGTTTTAGACTAAGGCAGAAATTTATAAAACGCTGATCTTCCTGTAGGTAACCACAAGATACGTAATTACATTTGCAGCGTTTAAAATAAGAGTTTAAAGGAACAACAGTGTTGCAAATAGGATGGGTCATTTTGCAAGGCAATTATGTTGATCATTATAAAAAGAGAAGGCAATAATTTTGACCACAATTCAACCTAAGATAATTCGATATTCATCTTGGATATTATTGACTGTCAGTAAGTATTATTAGAAATAGGCTTTTCAACGATGTTCTAAGTGGAGTCGAAGGTAGGTACTAACCTGATAAACTTTTCCTCCGATGATACAAGCAGCTTTCGCCTCCTCCACTTGCGGGCACTCCGGGCAGCATTTCCCCGGCTGAGGAGGCAGCGCGCGCGCACCGCACGTCAGCACCGGGCACGTATGCCGCGTGCACACCGCAGTGCCGTTCATACACGTGCAATCCGTGCAAGGGTCCACCCGGAACGCGCTCAGATGACCGTGGTACTCTTTCCCGATTATGCAAGGTTTCGCAACCATACTTCCTGAAACTGATAGTTGCACGCATGAACGACCAAGATAAAATATTATCTCCATAAATCCGCTGGACAAACCAATTAAACTGAAATGCGTACTTATGTCCGAAATGATTTATTATGTTAATAAATAATTCTATGAATGGAATTTTGGCTCTCTAAATACTTTATTTAAGGAAGCTGGAAATAAATTCATCTGATTTTAGATAACTTGGAAAGATTCATGTCTATTTGAGCAAACAAACAATTAAGTATATAATCGATGGCGATCCAATAAAGTAAGCCAAGGAGCAAACAAGGTTATAAATTAAAGCCATTTTGTGATATTAAACTCAATTGTGCTACTTTATGATAACAGACATTTATGAGGCGTAGAGGCTATTATAATAACTTACTTATAAATTTTTACTACTCTTAAATGTAATTTAATTTAAGATTTCATTTATTTATTTATTTATTTATTTATTGATATTAGGGAAACAAACAATTTTGATATACAGACAAATAATCACACAAAAAAATAGGACAGAAATCAGCAAAGTTTCCACAGTTAAAATTAATACAGAGTGCAGACTAAAAATTAATTAAATAGTAATAAATTATACATTAATTTCTAAATGTCAAATAAATACAATGTCAATTTTATAAAATGTCAAACAGTCAAATTTAATAAAAATTATAAAATGTCAAAAAGTTAAATATTAATAAAATTATATAAATTAAAAACACAATAATTATGTAGGTCAAAATTAAAATCAAGTTATATATTCAAACATTCTCTCAATTGTTTTTTATAAGATGGTAAGGAAGAATTAAAAATGTCAATCGTGTTAAACCTATTATTATATTCCTTACAAGATCTAGGTACAAAACTGTTGCTAGCATAATTAGTCCTAGTGAGAGAAATAGAGAAAAGTTTTGTAGAACGCGAACTCGTCCGAGGGCACCTAAAACTAATATTACTTAACAAAAAAGAGGAGTCAACATGGTTATTTAAAACTTTGTAGAGAAAGACTTGGTCTTTCTCAATGCGACGGTCTAAAAGAGATGGTACATTAGGAAGTGTTCCGCCAAACTTATCAGCTTTGTAACGTAAGTGTTTTTCAAACTTTTTGTTAATTTTTTCTATTGAGTCAATGTATATTTTGTATTGTGGGTTCCAGACAGATGATGCATACTCCAGAATGGACCTTACGTACGAGTTGTAAAGTAATGAAACTGTAGAACATAGTTTAAAATCTCTTCCCGTTCTTAAAACGAATCCCAGCATTCGGTAAGCCTTAGCAGTCATGATGTCTATGTGTGTTTTAAATGTCAATTTGGAATCTAAATGAACTCCCAGATCTCTCACCTCTGTCACTCTTTGAAGAACTATGTTATTTAGGTGGTAATGATGGTCAATCGGCTTCGCTTTCCGCGAAAACGAGATAGAATTGCATTTATTTATATTGAGAGTCAAATGATTAAAATTACAATAAGCACAAAGCGCGTCAAGGTCATTTTGCAGTAAAACACAATCGTAAGGTGATTTAATTTGTTTAAAAATTTTCATGTCGTCAGCGTAAATTAGAATGTCAGTGTTTTTAAAAATTGATACGATGTCATTGATAAATAAATTAAATAAAAGAGGGCCCAGATGAGAGCCTTGGGGTACCCCAGAGGATACAGGCACAAACGAAGAGCAGAAACCTTTGATGGTAACCGCTTGACTCCGCTGCTTCAAGTAGGACTCAAACCATCGCAGAAGGTCGCCATGAATACCCATGTCACTAATCTTTTGAACGAGAGTCGAATGCGGGATCTTGTCAAAAGCTTTGGAATAATCTGTGTACACAGCATCCATCTGGTAACCCTTGTCCATTGCCACTGAAACTCGGTGAACAAATTCACAAAGATTGGTTTCTGTTGATCTTTTATTAATAAAGCCATGCTGTTGAGGTACAATTACAGGCCTCAAAATTGGATAAATTACATCGTAAATAATTTTTTCGAATAGTTTAGGTATGGTACTAATTTTAGAAATTGGCCTATAGTTTTGAACATTGTGTCTATCGCCAGACTTGTAAATCGGAACGACATGACACTGCTTCCATAAATCGGGCATTGTACCCTTAGCCAAGGATAAATTAAATAAAATACATATAGGGTAAGCCAAAGATTTGCTACAGAGTTTGAGAAAGATGGGTGGAATGCCATCAGGCCCACACCCCTTAGTAATATCAAGTAATTTCAAGTATTTCTCCACCGTGTCTGCAGCGATATCAATAGTACTAATCACTTTTAATGGATTTGAATCGTTTAAGAGTCCAGCTTGTGTATAGTCCGAAACAGAGGGTTCAAAAACTGAGCGAAAGTAATTGTTAAACAAGTCACAAATATCCCTCCCATCGGTAGATACAGTTTCATTATAGAACATTGTATCTGGTAGACAGGAAGATGATTTTTTTGATTTAACAAATGTCCAAAAATATTTGCTGTTTATTTTTATTTTTATTTCTGCATTAAAAATGAATTTGTCATAACATTCCCTTTGCACCCGCTTCTGCCGCTCGCGCAGGAGACAAAAAGTATCGTAATCGCTTTGACGATGGTAAATCTTCCATTTTTTGTGGTATTTAAGCTTTTCTTTAATTATCTTAATAAGAGCAGATGAAAACCAGGGCGGGTAGCGATTATCGCTTTTAAAAGTTTTAGTGGGGACGTATTTTGAGATAACATCGTTTATTGTCTCATAAAATCTCACCACGGCCATATCAATGTCGGTGCTATGATCTAAAAACCGCCAGTCAATGGACATAATTGCATTGTTAATGCAGTCATAGTCAGCCTTACCGAAAAGAGGAACGGTCCGCGGTATAGATGGAAATGAACGCAAAGATAAGGATTGCACGTTCACATCCAGAGCGGGATGGTGGGCATCCTCATTTATTAGCGGTTCTCTACATCGTCCAACCACGCAATTTCTATCACTGATAACAAGGTCAAGAACTCTGTCATTTACATTGGGTATGTCATTAAATTGTTTCAGATTCGTAAAACTTAGGAAGCTTTGTAGAGCCTGAGTCAGATTATCGTGGTCCTTGGATGAAACATTAATCAACAGTTCAGACCCACTGCGAGACCATTGTGCTGAAGGTATATTGAAGTCACCTAATATGAGACAATGGTCATTTGGATTATTTAGAACGATGTCAGATACGTTTTCAAAAAAGCCACATAAGCAGTCAAAGTGTAGGGTACAGTGTGGGAAATAGCCACATAATATACGAACCAACTCTGTCTTGGAAGAACATTTAATTTTAATAGATACCTGGACTACTTCAGCTGCCGCTTCAGGCATAGTCATAACCCCGAATGAGTATACCGAGAGATCCCTGCGCACTGCTATGAGTACACCACCGCCTAGTTGGTTTCCTCGAGAGATGTAGTCGCGGTCGCATCGATACACATTATAGCGCGAATCAAATAATTCTGAGTCATAAATTCCCGGCAGTAGCCATGTTTCAGTAAGACAAACAATATGATATTCGGCCTCAATAATATTGCGGAAGAAAATATTTGTTTTTGTACGTAAACCACGAACATTTTGGTAGTACACAGATATATTTTTAGAAGTATCCATTTAACTGATACCAAGAGAATAATACATAAATAGATTGATCCTTACTAAAACTAAATAAAGCAGTAATAAGACAGGAACACCCCAAAATAATAGCAAAAAGTAGTAACCACCGAGATAAAAATAATGATAATAAATATACTTAGCCTGCCGACTCGCGGACAAGTTCGCATCCACAACGTCAACAATGTTAACAATGAGATTAAGTAACCCGTAAAAAACATTAGCTTGGACATTAATAGTATCATAAAAAAGATGGCCTATTTGATTTTGTTTAAATCAGATTCATGAGATATATTAATTACGGGGGACGTATCGGAGCGTCGCACTTTTATCGCACAATGTTTAACCCATACGTATTTATAGGATTTTTCTTTACAAATTGCCTTGACACGCTGCAATAAGGCTTTATTTGTACTTGTTAAATGGTCATTGAAATAAATAAATGAATCACCTGAAATTTTAATATCAGTGCTTTTAAGTCTCAGTTTTTTTACAGTGGCTAAGAACTCATCCTTCTTCCAGCGTGCCAAGAAACGGACAACAATTGGCTTAGTTTTGCGATCACTGCTCTTGGGAGCAACACGAGTAACAAAATCAATGTCTTTAGAAGGGTCCAACGGAAACTGGGCGTGGCCAGCAATATCTCTTAAAACGTTCATAAGGTTTTCTCCTTTTCTTTCTGGAACACCAAAAATTTCAATGTTCGACCGCCTCGCCCACTGCTCCCGCTTATCGTTTCCGTTCTCATGACTAGCGATTGATTCTTTAATCGCGCCAATATCTGATTTGACATTACCGATCGACTTAATGTCCTTCTCAAGATTATCAACTCTCTTCGTCATAGCTTCCTGCTGGTTATTAATAAATTCCATAGATTCCCTGATGCTAGCAATCTCCTCCCTGATTGGCTTCAGTTCCCTAGCAATTGCTTCAGAGATGGCCTTGCGCAGTTCGGACCTCATGACAGCCATTTCAGATGCTATAAAGCTTTTGACGGTGTCTATGCTCACTAGCATGGCATGGGAACTTTCTAGCGGTGATGAAACAGGAGGAGAGTCCGAACGAGAACCTCCTCTACGATGATTCACATTTTCCCTGTCCGATGGTTGGGGGCGCGAACCAGTCTGAGATCCTCTAACCGGAGTATTGTCGCTTTTTGCCGACCGTGGTTGATTCACCGAACAGTCCGGGCAAACCCAGATTTGTTTGAGCTCTGCACTGATGATTTTTTTCTTATCTGTAGGATATAAACATGCCAGATGAAAATTTTGTTTGCACTTGGTACACACAACCGCCCCCGAAGCGCCATCAGCGGTAGATTTGCAACATGCGTATTTCATGTTTGCTTTTATTATGTCCTTTGCGCTTGTGTGAACGTCCGCTTCGCTCCTGTGTCAGTGGGCCGCGGGCCGCGGCGGTCTCCGTGCGTTGCAGATGCTTCTACACTCGCGAGCAAAACTATGGAATCACTTACATGAAGTTGTCTCCACGCGATCTTGTGTACTAACGAATTTGTTAGTAACAAAAAAAGTGGCACCATTTTAAAGATTAAACTTTTACCTTTAAATTGATACCAAATTCATTTAAATCACACCAGTATTTAAAAAGATATCGCGGTTGATGTGAAGAAGTAAGGAAAAAGACATGTATCAACTGTTTGATACGTCGCGAGTTGCAGCCCATTTACCCCCTATAAAAGCACGTGTTTTCGGATTTTTGCTTTCACACGTTGATCCATACACATTTCAGCTTCTTTTGACACTTTACCTGGGATTCTACACCTTCAGAAGCAGCACAAATCCTTGCACTATTGCAAGCAGGGCTCAGCCAGCGGGCTGTCGCATGTCAGCTCCACATAAGCCAGTCCTGGGTTTCGAAAGTTTTAAGACGCTTTCGGGAGACTGGTGGCTTTATCCCGAGACCAAGTTCTGAACAGCGCCAGTGCACATCGCAGAAGGATGACCGTTTTTTCATGTCAACCTCTCTATGAAATCGTCATTTGATTGGTATCGACGTCCAGCAAGAGCTCAGAAATGTTCGTAGGATAGCTGTTAGCGTGTGGACAGTTCGTCTNTTTTTTTCTTATCCGTAGGATATAAACATGCCAGATGAAAATTTTGTTTGCACTTGGTACACACAACCGCCCCCGAAGCGCCATCAGCGGTAGATTTGCAACATGCGTATTTCATGTTTGCTTTTATTAAGTCCTTTGCGCTTGTGTGAACGTCCGCTTCGCTCCTGTGTCAGTGGGCCGCGGGCCGCGGCGGTCTCCGTGCGTTGCAGATGACTCACCACACGCACCGGTCACCGGTCGCAAGCGGCGGCGAGCGATGTATGTCCGTTGGTTAAAATTTTCAAAATTAAATTGCTTATAACTTTAACACTATGAAGTATTTATAAGAACGGTTTTCACAGTCACGTTGCTGAACTAAATGACCACACATTGGTGTAACACACAGCGTGAAACTTTTGGTTTTTACACTCATTACGAGCAAAATAGTACGGAGAAAAAATGTACGTGTCTGCTTTGTAACAGCGCCGCGCGCCGAACTGATATATATAATGACTGAACTGATAAATATAATGAGACTATTACTACCACCACTGCAACTCCTCGAGTTTTTTAGTTTTTTTTAGTTTTTATTTCCCAAGAGCCTGATCGCCAATACAACCCAGCCAGTGAAGAGTAAAACCCAGGAAATAATTACGTGCCTTAGAATCCCCTGCCAATTTCATTAGAAGAACCACAAATCACAGAAACTAAAGGGTGATGTTACAAGTGGGCGGGGCCGCCGGTGTCTCAGCAATATGCCCAAAAACGGAACACATTGCTCGTAAAAGCAACGATGACAGCAGCGGCGTCATAATGTAAACAGTTTACATTACTTGAATACACGTAATAATAAAGATTATTTGAACGTTGAGTGCTGATACCGCAGTGGATAATGAGCACATATTTTGATTATTTCGTGTGTGTGAATTTCTAATGCGACACTGAGTTAGAAGAATGAGACGAACATACGAGTGACTAAAAAGTTTATAAAATTAGAATTATAAAATTGCACCAAGGACAATGTGTGGTTAAAAATGTCTACGTGTTACGTATATTTTTGTCATGTCACTAAGACTAACGTACTGTAACACTTCATCGAGCAAGCTATCAACTGCGGTCTTTGTTATTTAACAGATAAGTGCAGGCCATGCGCGGGCGCAGCGTGGACAGAACCAGAACCATTTCCTACTTATTCCGAGTACCAACTTTCTCTGGGGATTGCGTGATCAATATTCCTTGAACGGCAGTTTTAACACTCGGTGACGCTAATCAATTACGCAAGGATAAATGTGACATTTTGATGTGTTACAAGTTTCGGCGAGGCATCGAAAAGTGTAAATGATTCACCACAAACTTGATGTCAGACCATAAAAGTCAAAGTAAAACTTGTGATAGGTAATTTGAAAATTATAACAAGAAAAAATCGAACTGCCTAAGGCGGGATTCGAACCCACGACCTTTCGCTTGCCGGGTGACTGCTCTTCCATCTGAGCTACTTAGTAGACACTGGATAAACCCGTCGAAATTTTCAAGTGTAATACTTATTATCTTTTAACCGTAAGAAAAATGCTCAATTGTATGTACAGACGGCAGCACGTCAGACTTCCACATTTTTTGTTGCAAATTCACTCTTATCCCAACTGCATAAGATCCCTGTTGACCCCAGATGACCAGTTTTTAACTTAACGTGTACGTCTGTGAGGAATAATTTTAGACCAAAACACTGACTCGCGATCTGTGTGGCTCTATCAAAACCGGTACCAGATGTAAGTTAACAAGTACTTAGCTAATTATAAATGGCATTTCCTTTCTCCTGCATTATTTTTTTTCTTATTAATTCAGTTATTTTTAACTTACTAGAATAGTTCCGCGTATTTTATTAGATAAGTCGACATAAATGTTATTAAGATCACGAAATCGAATAAACTAGTATCAACAAGATTAAATTATGAATGAAATTCGTCGCTAAAGTTCAATCTAAACACTACGCAATCACACCATCGAATGCTAACAGTGTGCTTACCATGAGTTTACGTTATGTGTGCTCGCTAGCGACTGCGTAAAAAAATGACATTAATTGTATGACATATTGTGCAGCGCCCCTAGCGGCTACTTTCAAGAAACAAAATCTTCATAGAGATTTTTGACGTACTCGCTAGCGAGCACACCTGATGTAAACTCATGGTAGGTACACAGTTCGTAACGAGCCAGATGATCCGTTCTCAGTGCGTTTAATGATGCGGTTAATAGTCAATCAATTATGCGCGGGCGCCGGTCCCGACTCGCGCGCACGATACTCCGTCACGAAGTATGACGACGTCATGAGTTACTGTGACGTGATGTAACAGCGTTAAAACTGTCCTTTTATCAAATCCTTAGACCCGTTTCTTGCATAGGCATATGACCCAATCGATACGAGGATAAAAAGCGCGAAACTGTCTTACGATCATTGGTCCACTATGACGACGTCATAGGTTACTGTGACGTGATGTAACCGCGTTAAAACTGTCCTTTTTTCAAATCCCGAGACCCGTTTCTTACATCGTGTCCCTACTTGCTATGTTCCAATCGACCTAATATTGTTGAAAAAAAGCGCGAAACTGTCATTGGTCCATAAACAAAGAGCTCATGCATGTCACGAGGTCATGAGTGTTACTGACGTGATGTAACCGCGTTAAAACTGTCCTTTTATCAAATCCCGAGACCTGTTTCTTACATTTCGTATGACCCAATCGATATTGCTGATAAAAAGCGCGAAACTGTCTCACAATCATTGATCCACATACAAAGAATCACGAATTATGACGACGTCATGAAGTAACTGTGACGTGATGTAACAGCGTTAAAACTGTCCTTTTATCAAATCCCTAGACCTGTTTCTTACATCGTGTACCTACTTTCTATGTCCCAATCGACCTAATATCGCGGATAAAAAGCGCGAAACTGTCTCACAATCATTGGTCCACATACAAAGAGTTACACAAGGAACCAGTCGCGCCGGTCCTAAGGGCGTTATGTAGAACGCTGCAATGCGTTTGCGCTATAATTGCCTTAGCTAGGTCACTGAAGGTCGATGGTGGAATGCGATTTGTAATAATCCTGTTTTCTGGTTATTATGTGTATGAGATAAGGTTATAAGTTTAGCTAAGGTTCTATGTCGAGCCCTAAGTATCAAAGCTCTACGTAGCCAAAATCTTACAGTATCGGGGGAGGTAAGCTCTCCTTAAAGCCTTCTAAAGTGATATTCTCTTTTTATTTCAAACTAGCTTTTGCCCGCGGCTTCGCCTGCGTGGAATTTTGTCTGTCACAGAAAAACTTTATCGAGCGCGTCCCTGCCCGGGACTCAAACTATCTCTAAGCCAAATTTAATCAAAATCAGTTCAGTGGTTTAGGCGTGAAAGCAAGACAGACAGACAGACAGAGTTACTTTTGTATTTATAATATTAGTATAGAAGTATAGATGTCATCGCTCTAATTTCGTTGGAGGAGGTCTCTTGCCACGTATGTATGTACCTACTTGTCTTAAATTCCTCAAGGTTTGTTGTGACTTATCCTTGCTTCTAAAGCTAGATATGGCCAATTTGAGATGAACAAAAACTAATTTAATCAAACAAGAATGAATAACAATTGCTACCACATAGTACAATGTAGGCGACTGTTACAGACAGACGGACAAAGACACAATCAGAAGACAAAGGCCGAAAGAAATTTACATGACAGTGGGACATAGACCTCGACCCACTTGCGTTATGTCATACACATCATACAGGTTGTATGGCCAACGTGTTAATTAAGAAAGAACCGCTTTGTACAGTGTAATATGAAGCTTTCATGGCAGTAAATCTCAGCAAAAAGGTTTCAAGAAACTTTTTAAAGTATTTGTCAGGTTGGCTACTTTTGGACGTAAAAGAGTTTTAGTGTTGCTACTTCTCCGTGCTCGTATTCACCAACACCAACCAACCCAGACGATAAAAATGTAGGCAAAAAAGGAAATTGTGAAGTTTTCATTTCAAACTGAAATAAATCTTTTTGCATCTGTTTATGTGTCATCAAAATATCTTGACACTTTTAAATACGTGTTAGTTTTCAGTTCCAAAAATGTAAACCTGTTACGTGTATAATTTTTCGTGCCGACCAACAGCTGCGCAAATGATAGCAATCGACTTTTCGTGATTGTTACCTCTCAAAACAGAGTAGTACTACCTGTACTACAGTCACTTTCGTTCATGTTTTACAATCGGAACTTATTAATCAGCTGGCACTATTATCATTTTAGAATACAAAACTCAATTTATGGTTTGATCGATGCCCGGTCCAGATAGCCCAGTTATTAGAGTTTTTATTGTAACAGGCAAAAATATTAACGCAACAGAACTTTCTATTTATGAATTGATTGATTCGATACTAGTGATTTGAATTGCGATTAAGTATATCGAGCATTCGGTAATAAATAAGAGGAGTAAAATGTTTTGTTGGCATGAAACAAGCTTTCATTTTTATAACAGAACAATATTGCGTATCAATTGGCAGAGGCTTGGGGTGATGTACCATAGAGTGCGGACCTAGAAGCCTATCACAGACAAAACGGTCTACGAAAATATTTAATTAAGATCCTAAGTAACATTCATCGAGTTTCTTAAGGTACCTCTTTACATAACAATTAGAAATTCCAAATCAAGATTACATTCAAGGGAGAAATATCGGTCGGTAAGTCGTAACAAATGTTGTGAGTCTCATCCTTTTAAGGATACTAAACACTACTTAAAGATCAAAAGCATCTTATCTGTATTGAAATCCTAGCTTTAAAGTATTATGTAATGAATAATTTTCCCATATACATATAATCTAAACTGTAATTCAACGATAGCCTTCGCGCGATCAAGTCGATCTGTTGTCTTTGTTGCAGCGGCCTTGCTAAGTATTTTTATAATGCAAAAATTATGCATTATTGCAAAAATCACAAGTCTTCCTAGTTTTGTTAAATATTTTTAAATTACAAGGTGCTTTGATCCAAAAGAGACATCTTGCAATTTTAAATTTTATAAGCTGCTGCCAATATTAATTTTTCTTTGCATATTAATTTAAAAACAATATTTACATATTATATTATACTTTTATTAGGGGCACATAGCTCGAAGAGCTGACGGCCGCTGGGGCAGGAAAGTTCTTGAGTGGCGACCACGAGCTGGAAGACGTAGCGTGGGCAGGCTTCCCACTAGGTGGACCGACGATCTGGTGAAGGTCGCGGGAAGTACCTGGATGCAAGCGGCGCAGGACCGGTCTTTGTGGAAATCCTTGGGGGAGGCCTTTGTCCAGCAGTGGACGTCTTTCGGTTGAAACGAACGAACGAACGAACGATATTATACTTTAGCTGTTTGAAATCGATAGAAACAAAAAGATGGCATGCCACGTCAAGTTAAGCATATAAATGCCAAGAAAAGATAGATACAAGCTTTACATGGGGTCAGATATAAAAAAAATACCAATCTTGAATC